TCAGCAGCAGCCGCCTCGCCACTCGGAGTGTCCTCGTCGCCGTGATCCTCGAACACCTCCGCAACCGAGAGCGGCAGCGGGGAGCACGACGAGTAGCACGTCGCTCCGCACGTGCAGAGGCGGCCGCAGCCGTCCAGCGGCACCCAGCAGCCCAAGCTCGGGACGAAAGGGGGCGCGTCACGACGGAGCCCGCTCTCGGCCCCGAGGGGCGGGGAGCCCTGCGACAGCCCGTGAGCCGCGGGCTGGGTGTCCGCCCTCCTCGCCTCGAGCCTACGCACGTGCTTCTGGGCCTTGCGCAGCTCGGCATGGCCAGCTGAGACCAGAGACACGCCGCAGGGCCCCTCGGAGTGGAGCGCCACATTGCGCCGAAGGATGTCCAGCGCCTCGGGCCGCTCGCCCGCGAGGAAGAACGTGAGGGCAAGAAGAATACAGGCGACCCTCTCCGCAACCTCCGCGTCGCCGAAAAGGTGCAGCAGCGCAAACTCGAAGGCGAGAGCCTTGCGGTCAGCAGCCACCAGCTTGCTCTTCAGCTTGAAAATGAACCGGTCGGCGGACGCGCGCGCACCGGCTGCCCCACGGAGGGGCTCTCCCGCAGCCACCATGCCTAGCTCAGGGGACCCCGCGTGGAGCATTGAGCCAGCATGGTTTGAGCCAAAATGGCTACGGATGTCTGTGTGTGTCTGTGTGTGTGTCTGTGTGTGTCTGTGTGTGTCTGTGTGTGTGTCTGTGTGTATCTGTGTGTGTCTGCGTGTGTCTGTGCGTGTGAATGTGTGTCTGTGTGTGTCTGTGTGTGTCTATGTCTGTGTGTGCGTGTGTGTCTGTGTGTGTCTGTGTGTGTCTGTGTGTTTGTGTGTGTCTGTGTGTGTGTGTGTCTGTGTGTGTGTGTGTGTGTCTGCGTGTGTGTCTGTCTGTCTGTCTGACTGTCTGTCTGTCTGTCTGTCTGTCTGTCTGTCTGTCTGTCTGTCTGTGTGTGTATGTGTGTGTGAATGTGTGTGTGAATGTGTGTGTGTGTGAATGTGTGTGTGAATGTGTGTGTGAATGTGTGTATGTATGTATGTATGTATGTATGTATGTATGTATGTATGTATGTATGTATGTATGTATGTATGTATGTGTGTGTATGTATGTATGTATGTATGTGTGTTGTGTGTGGTGGTGGGGGGGGGGGGGGGGGGGGGGGGGGGCGCATGTGGGCGGTCCCACCGGGGGCTTCGATGGAGCTCCCTATGGGGCCACGTAACGCTGTACTGGGTGTGGCGGACGTATGTGGCCCCACTGGGGCCGCAGGTGGAGCTCCCTATGGGGCCACGAAACGCTGTGCAGGGTGTGGCGGACGCATGTGGCCACCCCATCTGGGCCCTTACGTGGGATTCCGTATGGGGCGCTGTACTGGGTGTGGTGGACGCATGCGGTGCCCCCTGAGGGGGCGTTCGGCTGAGCCCCCAGTGGGGCCACGAAACGCTGTACTGGGTGTGGCGGACGCAGGTGGTACCCCCCACTGGGGCCTTCGGTTGAGCCCCCTTTATGGGGCCACGAAGCGCTGTACTGGGTGTGGCGGACACAGGTGGTACCCCCCACTGGGGCTTTCGGTGGGGCTCCTTATGGGGCCACGAAGCGCTGTATTGGGTGGGTGAAACGCATGGAGGAGGAAAAAGGGGGAGGAGGAAACGGGAGGAGGAGACGCGGGGACCGTCTCGTCAAAACGAGGACCCCAAACCACAGGACGGTTAAGGGGCAATTCGCCTGGCGACGGACCCAACCATATGCAGTTGTGAATACCGCAATTGCGAATATCGTCCTCGGTGGAGCTCCGTATGGGGCCACGAACTGCGCGGTGGGGAACCGCATGCGGGCGCCCCCACTGAGGTCTTCGGTGGAGCGCCCTATGGGGCCACGAAACACCGCCCTGGGTGGGGGAACCGCATGCGGGAACCCCCACTAGGGCCCACGGTGGAGGTCCCTGTGGGGCCACGAAACGCTGCCCTGGATGGGGGAACCGCATGCGGGCACCCCCACTGGGGCCTTCGGTGGAGCTCCCTGTGGGGCCACGAAACGTTGCCCTGGGCGGGGGAACCGCACGCGGGCACCCCCATTGGGACCTTCGGTGGAATTCCCTGTGGGGCCACGAAACGCTGCCCTGGGCGGGGGAACCGCACGCGGGCACCCCCACAGGGGCCTACAGTGGGGCTCCTTATGGGGCTTCGAAGCGCTGCCCTGGGTGGGGGAACCGCATGCGGGCACTCCCACTTGGGTCTTCGGTGGAGCTCCCTATGGGGCCACGCAACGCTGTCCTGGTTGGCGGAACCGCATGCGGGCACCCCCATTGGAACCTTCGGTGGAGCTCCCTGTGGGGCCACGGAACGCTGCCCTGGGCGGGGGAACCGCATGCGGGCACCCCCACTGGGACCTACAATGGAGGTCCTTATGGGGCCTCGAAGCGCTGCCCTGGGTGGGGAAACCGCATGCGGGCACCCCCACTTGGGTCTTCGGTGGAGCTCCCTATGGGGCCACGAAGCGCTGCCCTGGGTGGGGGAACCGCATGCGGGCACCCCCACTGGGGCCTTCGGTGGAGCTCCCTATGGGGCTACGAAGCGCTGCGCTGGGAGGGGGGGGGGGGGAGGGGGAGGAGGAAGGAAGGAAGAAAGAAGACGCGGGGCGCTGTCTATTCAAAACGAGGACCCAACACCACAGGATGGTTGGGAAATAGAATAGCAAGATGCAGGGCAATTCGAAGCACCGACCGAAGCCGAAATGCTTGCGCACGGTGCGAGCAGTAGAATCCGAAACACCAACATTAGCCTGGCGAAGGACCCGAACATATGCAGTTGTGAGTACCGCAAGTATGAATATCTTCTTCGGTGGAGCTCCTTATGGGGCCACGAAACGCTGTACGGAGTGGGTGAAACGCAGGGAGCAAGGGCTGCGGTGGGTGGTAGCTGACGCATGCGGGCGGTGCCACTGGGACCTTCGGTGGAGCTCCCTATGGGGCCACGAAGCGCTGTACTGGGTGGGTGGAACGCAGGGAGCAAGGGCTGTGCTGGGTGGTGGCTGACGCACGCGGGCGGTGCCGCTGACACCTTCGGTGGAGCTCCCTATGATGGGGCCACGGGGTGCTGCACGTGGTGGGTGAAACGCAGGGAGCAAGGGCTGTACTGGGTGGCGGCGGACGCATGCGGGCGACGCCGCTGGGGCCTTCGCTGGGCCCCCCTTTATGGGGCCACGAAGCGCTGTACTGGGTGGGCGAAACGCAGTGAGCAAGGGCTGTGCTGGGTGGCGGCGGACGCATGCGGGCGGTGCCACTGGGGCCTTCGGTGGAGCTCCTTGTGGCGCCAGGAAGCGCTGTACTGGGTGGGGGAAACGCAGGGAGCAAGGGCTGTGCTGGGCGGTGGCCGGCGCATGCGGGCGATACCACTGGGATTTTCGGTGGGGCTCCCTATGGGGCCACGAAGCGTTGCACTGGGTGGGTGAAACGCATGGAGGAGGGGGAGGAGGGCCACGAAACGCTGCACTGGGTGGGGGGGGCGCACGTGGACGGTAGACCTGGAACCTTCGGTGGAGCTCCCTATGGGGCCACGGAGCGCTGTTCTGGGCAAGTGAAACGCAGGGAGGAGGGGGGGGAGGGCCACGAAACACTGTACTGGGTGGGGGGGGCGCATGCGGACGGTAGACTTGGAACTGTCGGCGGGGCTCCGTATGGGGCCACGAAACGCTGCACTGGGTGGGTGAAACGCAAGGGGGAGGGGGAGGAGGGCCACGAAACGCTGTACTGGGTAGGGGGGACGCATGCGGACGGTAGACCTGGAACCTTCGGTGGAGCTCCCTACGGGGCCACGAAGCGTTATACTGTGGGCTGAAGCGCAGGGAGGAGGGGGAGGAGGGCCACGAAACGCTGTATTGGGTGGGTGGGTGGGGGGAGCGCATGCGGACGGTAGACCTGGAACCTTCGGTGGAGCTCCCTATGGGGCCACGAAGCGCTGCACTGGGTGGGTGAAGCGCAAGGAGGGGGGGCAGGACGGCCACGAAACACTGTGCTGGGCGGTGGGAGGGGGGCGCCTGCGGACGGTAGACCTGGAACTTTCCGTGGACCTATGGGGCCACAAAGCGCTGCACTGGGTGGCGAAACGCAGGGAGGAGGGGGAGGATGGCCACGAAACGCTGTACTGGGTGTGGGGGGCGCATGTGGACGGCGGCACTGGGGCCTTCGGTGGAACACCCTATTGGGCCACGAAAAATGTGAGAGGTGTGCCGAAATGGGCGCGGGGGGCGCATGTGGACGGTGGCACTGGGGCCTTCGGTGGAGGCCCCTAGTGGGCCACGAAACGTGTGAGGGGTGTGCCGAACTGGGTGCGGGGGGCGCGTGCGGACGGTAGCACTGGGGCCTTCGGTGGGGCTCCCTATGGGGCCACGCAGCGCTGTACTGGGTGGGTGAAACGCAGGGAGGAGGAAGGAGGGGGAGGAGGAGAGGGGAGGAGGAGGAGAGGAGGAGAGGAGGAGGAACGCGGGGACCGTCTCTTCAGAACGAGGACCCAACAACACAGGTTGGTTGGGAAATAGAAAATCTCCAACAGCATTCGAAAATCAAACACCTCGAAAAACAACTCGAAACGGCAATTCAGATGTCACCCTTTGCCCTCCGCCCGCAGAACATGTTTGGGAATTGCCCGGCCGTCCGCGAGTCGCCCAAGTGGCCAGGGCCCGCTGCCCAGTTGCCAAGCAGCGCAACGCAAGGCAGAACAGGGCACCGCCAAGCAGCGCAGAGCGAAGCAGAACGTAGCAAAGCCAAGCGACGCAAGTCAACGCCAGTAAGAAACACGCCCGGCAGCGCAATGCCACGCGAAGCAACTCAACGCAATGCCAAGCGACGCCGAGCAACGCCAACACATGCCAAACCAAGCCAAGCCCAACAATTGCAAGCCAATGCCCAAGCGAAGCAACGCCAAGCAGCGCCAAGTGCTGCAAAACAGCGCAAACCAACAAAAAGCAACGCCAAGCAACGCAAAGCGGTGCAAAACATGTCCTTTCTTGGTAAGCTGCTTCCCTTTGAAACTTCGGGCAGAGTTTTCCATCGCGCTCGGAAACTGGCAACGACGTGGCAAGTGGCGCCGTTAGGGCCGACCTACCACTGTAAGCCCGAAGCAAACTTCGGTTCGCGCGCGCGGACAAAGCGCGCAGCTATCCACGCGTCTGCACTCCAGCGCGAACGCTCCTCATGCATTTCAGCACCTGTCAGCTTCGGATCTAGCGGGCGCGCCGCGCACTCACTCCGACGACGGGGGCCGGATCGGAGCTCGGCACAGGGCGCGACGCTCTTCAGGGGCACTGCCCCACATCCTGCACGAGGTCAATCTCGCGCAGACGGCCGATGGGCTTGTCGGGGACGCTGTGGTCGCAGAACCCCGAGCAGCACTTGTCGTCCTTGGTGCACAGCTTGCCGCTGGACTTGCAGCCGCCTTCCTCCTCGTCGGAGGCTCCGCCATTGGTCGCGCCACCCTGGGACTCATCCGTCTGCGCGAGACTGGCCCCGTCGACGCAGACACCTCTCACGGTTGATGAGCAACGCCCCGAACAGCACTTCTTGTCCGCGGTGCACAGCTTGCCGTTGGACATGCAGCCGCCCTCCTCCTGGTCCGAATCGCCGCCCTTCGTCGCGAGGGAGGCCCTGAGCTGCGCGAGCCCCGCCTCGTCGCACCCGCCCGCGGCCTCGCAGGACTCCGCCTCCTGCGAGGCCGGCACGCCCCGCAGGAGCAGGGCCAGCCCGAGCAGCCCGGCCAGCGCCATGGGCCCTGGAGCGCGTGGGGCGTCGAAACTTGCGTTTTGGCCGGAACTCGGGGCCTCCTGAATGGGTTGGGCGTCGATGGGGCCCGAGGATCGCGCCGCATCGCCGATGCATCGGCGAGGCATCGGTGATGCATCGGCGATGCATCGGCGATGCACCAGCGATGCATCGTCGACGTCGGCGGTGCATCGGCGACGTCGGCGTGAAGCAAATCGGGCTCAACATCGAGACGCATCGGCAATGCATCGGCGATGCGGCGAGATCCTCCGACCCCATCTACCCCGACCCCACCTGGGAGGCCTGGAGAAACCGAACACTGGATCCGAAAGGGCTCGAGCCAAAGCTGGGAACTGACACCGCCCCTCCTACTTGAGCAGGGACCGACCGTCCCGGCATTCCTGTAGGCCTATCACGAAATGTTCTTAGAACCCCAAAAATGTTCGAATAACAAAAACAATTATCTTATAACATAGACCCTGTGTCAAAACAAGACAGCTCCCGTCAGAGATGCTCGAAGAACACGTCGTGCAGTCCACAAAGAGGTTCTCTGAACATCCTTTGGCAGGCCTGTGGGCGAGCTAGGACGCTTCGCCACTGCTTGACCTGGGCATCCCTGCACGCACGGGCACCAGCGGTGAAGGAGGAGGAGGAGGAGGATGCTGAGGAGAGGAGGAGGAGGAGGAGGAGGAGGAGGAGGAGGAGGAGGAAGGAGGAGGAGGAGGAGGAGGAGGAGGAGGAGGAGGGGAGGAGGAGGAGGAGGAGGAGGAGGAGGAGGAGGAGGAGGAGGAGGAGGAGGAGGAGGAGGAGGATGAGGAGGAGGAGGAGGAGGAGGAGGGGCAGCGCCCCGCCACTCGCGAGTCGCGCGGCTCGCCTCGCGCCCTCGTGCGCCGCTGCGTGGAGAAGGCCGACTCGGCGGCCCCAGCCGCGGCGCACGAGCAGCGGACCCCTTCGCGCCGCTAGGTGGCCCAGATTTGGGTCGGGCATGTCCCCCTACGGGCAGATCTTCGACGAAACTATCCTGGCGAAGCCCCAACCATATGCAGCTGTGGGTACCGCAATTGTAAACATCTTCTTCGGTGAAACTCCCTATGGGGCCACGAAGCGCTGCACTGGGTGGGGGGAACGCTGTTCTGGGTAAGTGGTGTGTCAAGTAAGGTTTCCGGGACGCATGCGGACGGTCCCACTGGGGGCTTCGGTGGAGCTCCCTATGGGGCCACGAAACGCTGTACTGGGTGGGTGAAAATGCCCAATTGGGCTTCCGGGACGCATGCGGATGGTCCCACTGGAGGCTTCGGTGGGGCTCCCTATGGGGCCACGAAGCGCTGTACTGAGTGGGTGAAAATGCCACTTTGGGCTTCCGGGACGCATGCGGAAGGTCCCACTGGGGGCTTCGGTGGAGCTCACTAAGGGGCACTGGGGCCTTCGGTGGAGTTCCCCACGGGGCCACGAAATTCTCGACTGGGTGGCCGAAAATGCCACGGTGAGTGTTTCGGGACGCTTGCGGACAGTCGTCCCACTGGGGCCTTCGGTGGAGCTTCCTGTGGGGCCACGAAACGCTGCACTGGTTGGGTGAAAATGCCACATTGGGTGTGCGGGACGCATGCGGACGGTGGCACTGGGGCCCTCGGTGGAGCTCCTTGTGGGGCCACGAAACGCTGTAATGGGTGGGTGAAAATGCCAAATTTGGTGTTTCAGGACGCACTCGGACAGTCCCACTCGGGGCTTCGGTGGAGCTCCCTATGCGGCCACGAAGCGCTGTACTGAGTGGGGTGGACGCATGTCGACGGTAGCACTGTGACCTTCGGTGGAGCTCCCTATGGGGCCACGAAACGCTGTACTGAGTGGGGGGGGCGCATGTGGACGGTGGCACTGGGGCCTTCGGTGGAGCTCCCGATGGGGCCACGGAGCGCTGTACTGAGTGGGGGGGACGCATGTGGACGGTGGCACTGGGGCCTTCGGTGGAGCTCCCTATGGGGCCACGAAACGCTGTACTGAGTGGGGGGGACGCATGTGGACGGTGGCACTGGGGCCTTCGGTGGAGCTCCCTATGGGGCCACGAAACGCTGTACTGAGTGGGGGGGACGCATGTGGACGGTGGCACTGGGGCCTTCGGTGGAGCTCCCTATGGGGCCACGTACGCTGTACTGAGTGGGGGGGACGCATGTGGACGGTGGCACTGGGGCCTTCGGTGGAGCTCCCTATGGGGCCACGGAACGCTGTACTGAATGGGGGGGGCGCATGTGGACGGTGGCACTGGGGCCTTCGGTGGAGCTCCCTATGGGGCCACGAAGCGCTGTACTGAGTGGGGGGGACGCATGTGGACGGTGGCACTGGGGCCTTCGGTGGAGCTCCCTATGGGGCCACGAAGCGCTGTACTGAGTGGGGGGGACGCATGTGGACGGTGGCACTGGGGCCTTCGGTGGAGCTCCCTATGGGGCTACGAAGCGCTGTACTGGGTGGGTGAAACACAGAGAAGCGGGGGAGGAGGGAGGAGGGGGAGGAGGAGGAGAGGAGGAGAGGAGAACGCGGGGACCGTCTCTTCAAAACGAGGACCCAACACCACAGGATGGTTGGGAACAAATCTCGCACAGCATATTCCTCACCAAGGATCCCTACTGCGGAATCCTTGCGAAAACTCGTCAACTAATGAACCCTTACTGGGGATTCCGCACTAAGAAATCATTGCTAAGGATTGCGGAATAAGGATTCCCACTAGGATTTCGTTGCTAGGGAATCCTCACTAAGGATGCCCTACGCAAGCAAACGAAGCCTCGGCGCAACTTGGATACGGAGCGGGACAGAGAGAGCGAGAGAGGGAGCGAGGCAGACAGGCCGAGTGAGAGAGAAAGCTACAGAGAGAGAGAGAGAGATGCCACGACGTGCTACGCATGATAGTTGTTGTTTGGCATTTCGGTATGGCAAGCAATGCAGCACTGTGTATATTGTTGTGTTGTGTTGTTTGGCTTCGGCGGAGGCTGAGAGAGGGAGGTGTAGGGGGAGGCCGCGGCGAGCACTGGAGCCTTCCAAACCACACAACAATATAACAACCTAGTGCACACAGTGTTGCGTTGCGTGCCCAACCGAAGCACATCTGAAAAACCTAGCATACACATGGCTTCGTGACACCGACCAGCACTGGAATGCGTGCGCGCATGGTGCGAGCACTGGAGCCCTTCACATCGTAATGAAACAACAACAAAAATGCATACATAGGGTTTAGTTGCTTCCCAGACTAGAAATTCAAACGACCTAGCATACACAACGTTCTGTGGCACCGACCGAAACCGAAATGTTCGCGGTGCCGTGATGAGCCGAGCGGATGAGTTCGCCAGGCTGGATCGCAGGCTCATGGGTGAGTGGCGGACACAGACAGCGAAAGCTTGTCAGTGAAGCGAGTGTGCGGCTTCAGCGAAGCGGTTCTGAAGAGTCGTGCTGTGGGCGTTTTCGGGGGTCGCTGGGGGGGGGCGGGGGGACCGACCATCTATACACATTTACATATGCATATGCACATATATATATATATGGGCACACATATATATATATATATATATATATATATGTATGTATATGCTACGTATGTAAGTGCACGTATATATATAGATATAGAGAGAGAGTTGTATATCTCTCTACATAAGTATGTATATATCGAAATTGGGAGGTCAGGTCAAGTCAAGGACGGCGCTAAGGGACGAATCGTACAGGCTTAATGCGGGAGGGCAGGGGCGTGAGGACGTTGTCCTTCTTGTTCAAGTCAAACGTGCTTCCAATTGCTGCTAATCTCCCCGTATCCGGATATATGGAAAGATTGTTGTTAGTCTCCCCGCATCCAGAGAGATGAAAAGAAGCGCACGCGGCCAGAAAAGAGCCCCCTCCGCCCTACCCGAAAAGAGCAGCGATCCCTGGGCCTCCGCGCCGCTTCAACTCCTTGAGGCGAGCATCCTAATGGTCAGCCAGCTGGTCCCCCCTAAAGGGTGAAAGCAGACTCTGGAACCCAAGGTCATGGCCACTCTGAAGGTCAGCGAAAAACGCGGACAAGGCAAGCTCGACTTTACATCTACCTTGTGAGGAGGACGAGCAGGAACAGGACAAGGAGAATAAGAGGAGAGAGGGAGGAGGAGCGACAGCGAAAAGCAAACAGGATCAGCTGGGGAAGGACGGGAGAAAGAGTAAGGGGACGAGGGAGCAGGGAAGGAGGGAGGGGGGGGGAAGCGCCGCGGGGAGTTTGCGCTGGCCACCGGTGAAGATATCCTCTTCGTCCTCGCCCTCGCCCTCGCGATTGTTTCTGCCCTCGCACCCTGCTCCTCCTCGTTCTTGTCTTCCTCTCTGGGTTCGCATCCTTCTCTCATCAGCTGCCCTCTGCCTCCTGCCCCTCATCTGCTCAAATACACCCCGTCCGTCAAAATTACTTAGCCCCATGTCGCAGCACCAAGCGCAAGGGCCGGGCGTTCCGCTTGAAACGTCTTTCCTTCCAGCTTACTATCCAGAAGTTGACTAAACCCCAACAGTCATAGTGATGGAGGGTCGGCGGACTTCAAATGCGGTTTTCGCCAAAGGCAGCGCCCACTCGCTTGAAGAGCTTCCAACAGAAAAATAATGGAGGGCCGGTGGTTTTCACAATGCGGTTCTCGCTTTAGTGCTGCGCGCAGCCGTCTTGAAAGGTCCCCAAACAATGCTTGCATCTGGTCTGGTCTGGGGATGGTTAACTGAGTCTGTGAATCGGTCTGGCGGCTATGTGGCCGCAGCCGCCCCGTCGTCGCCGCCCATCTTCTGGGTGTGTGTGCCGGTCTGGAAGATATGTGGGCGCCGTGGCCGCCTCGACGTCGCCCATCGTCTGGGCCTGTGTGTCGGTTTGGCACTGAGTAACATTTAATATCTTCTCTAGAAGAAAAATCGGATACGCCCCCCATGGAGTTCACGCTTACTGCGTCCGCACTAACGTATAGCAATGTACGTACGGTTCTGTCCCACCGTCCACATGAAATATAAATTCGTTCCACCAAAGGCAGGCAGGCATCCTCTTTGTCATGCTCTGCAAACACTATGCGCGCGCACTCGCTAATCATAAACCGTTTTATATATACATAACCTTTCACAACAACGGAGTACACACACGCGCGCGGCAACGCGCGCGCATGCCGAAATCCTTTCAAAGACCACGGGTTCCCTAAGGATTTCAAATTCGAACGCCCCGAACACATACAGGGAACACATGGCTTCGCAGCGACAGGTCCAAGGGAAAACCTGGGCCCGCGTTCTTGCGAGTTTTTCCCAACAGAAAACAAAAACAACACGATGTCAACGTGTTCCCAAAAATGTTACCAAACGGGTTTGCCGCGCGAAATCGTTCAAATAGCCTTGCGCGCGCGGTGTCGTAAAAATCGCGTTGCAAACAAAACGGGGCGAACCGCACAGGCGCGCGCCATCGCGCACGCACGTCAACATG